CTATAAGAAGTGATGAGCTGAATAATCTTAGAAAGGCATGAAAGACTTGCGTGAAATGATGGAGAGAGAAGTGAGCAGAACCAAAAGAATATTGTATACAGCAATAGCAATATTGCTTTAAGAATGACTTTGAGTGACTAAGTCATTTTGACTATTACAAACACACAAATGAAAAATAAAGGATATATGAAGAAAAACACTATCTCCATCCATAGAAAGAACTGATAAATAGAAGTATATATGAAATAATTTTACATATATACACACATACATACATACATACGTACACACACATATTTGTGTCTAATGGTAGACATCTCTGGGGGTGGAGGACAAGGGAAGAAAAAAATACAAAAAAGAAATTTACATAACTGTTGTACCTTAGGAAGGAATAGCAAGTTGTCCATGGTAGATTTGTAGTTTCATGTGCCATCATCATTTTTATTGTACTGTATTATGGAAATGCTTGTTTTGTTCCCTGAATTGAAAATTGAAAAACAAATTAAAAATTAAAAAAAAAATCCTGCCTCAGACATTTACTAGCTATGTGATCTTGGGCAAGTTATTTAAATTCTGTAAAATAAAAGAATTTGACTCAATGCCCTTTAAGCTCCTATACATGTCCAAATTTGTTATCTTGTTATCTTAAGTCTTTGAATTGTGAGCCAAAGCACATCCCTCTCCATAAGTGGCCTAAGGTGCAGGACCTCTCCCTACAAATGACCCATAGGATGATCTCCAGAGGGCTCAATGTTATTTCCATTACATGTGCAAGAATAGGTGAATTGGGGGGGGGGGGAAGAAAGAAAAGGAGTAGCATAGCCTGTGAAAATGTGTAAGAGAATTGAATAATTGTCCTACCAAATTTCAGCCACCTATCTCTACTATAAGGGAAATTTTATTTGGAGAGACTCTCTAATTAAAAACAAGGCAACAACGTAGGGACTGATTGAAAAAAAAATGTGGGGTTGGGAGACCTACATGGACACATGTTAGTTATGTCATCTTGAAGAAATCACTGAATCACTTTGAGCCTCTGTTTCCTAATCTGTAAAAACTGAGCCTAACAATATTTGTGCTTGCTTGTTCATACTTACTTCTCAAATAACACTTTTCTCCTCGTTTTTTATTGTGATTCTGCCTCTTTCCTATTTATGCCCTCATCATTTTTCCCTTTTCTTTTCAGTATACCTGTTCCAAAATTCCTCCCTTCCTTCCCAAGTCCATAGAGCACATACTTATTCACACTTCTGATTTCCCGAAGCTTGACCACAGCCCACTTTACTGAAATTCCCCAAAGCCCAAAGCTGTGATATCAAAAACAATGGCCTCGGAGAGCTACGGTGTGCATGCATGCTGAACAGATCATACTTTTACTGCCTGAAAAGACCCATCCAGCAATCATTGTGATATCTGTCTAAGTGGATGGAACTGTGAGCCAAGTCCAGCCAGGGTCATCTCAAATAGTGTTCTGCCACATGATTTCTTAGCTGAGGATACTAAGCATGTGTTTCATTTTGCCCCATTGTTAAAGTCAGGGGAAATTATTTCCTCTGAATGTATTTTCATCTGTTCTAGCTAATCTCCCCTATTCCCTTTGGGGGTGGCTAGTGTTTAATTTTTAGTTTAAACATGGTGTGATAATCCAGGAGGAGAAACAACACCTCTCCTACCCTCCAAAAGGAATTTCTCTTATCTCTCCAGTGTCACCATTTCCCCCCATGTTTCTATAAATTCCAGGTTTCTGCCAGAGCAAACTTTCCTCATGGAAAACCCTTAACTTGGGCAGCCCTACTGGGCCCCACAGTAAAGTAAATAATCAAACTCAAAGCCTATTAAATTATAGCATGCCTTCAACATTAAAGCAACAAAATGGAAAGGCTCCATTAATGTTGTCCAACTGGCTTCAAGTTACACTGTGCACTCTGGAAACAAGTTGACTGAGATCCTGCTATTCTACCTGGAAGCTTAGATAGGTACTTGATAAGTAGTCATGGAAGGAGGTGGGGAAAGGGTTTCATTTTGTGGATGTCGTATACACAGCCCTATACAGACTCACACTAGTATTCTACAGAGCACCAAATCTTGGCATATTGTTTTTAGGGTGAGCTCTTGACTGGCTCACACAATCCCAGAGGGCATCCAGAGGTAAGAAGGAATGGAAAGGATTGTCAATAATTCTTCCATCTAACCAAAACCCTGAAGCTAAGGAAGTTAAATGACAGTTCCTGGCTTATAAGTAGAGAACCTAAGGAATTTTAAAATCAACAAACCATATCTTTCTTTCCACATCTGTTCGTATGCCTATCCTATTCTTTGCCGTGTGTCATCAAACACACAGAAGCAAACCACCTCCATGAGGGTCTCATCACATCTTAAGATATATCTAGGAACTGCTGAAAGCTATATACCTATAGTATATACTATAACCTATAGTAGCCTATAATCAAATTGGCTATAGCAATTCTCCATGTGCTCTTTAATCTTAGAACGCAGTATTTAATCACACTGATACCATCACTTTCAAAAGCTCATAGGACTTTCTATTATACTCTTGTATGTAATATCCAAGGGGAAGGTCCTTAGCCACAGGGGGTTGATATGGAAAGACTCCGTGGAGGAGGCGATATTTGTGTTGCGATTTGGAGTGTGGGAAGGAGTTTAAAAGGTGAAGAGAGGAGCTAGGACCTTGCTGGCATGAGGAACCATGTTAGGGAAGGTGTGGGGACAACAAAAATCACTCATCACGTTTGGGGAATAGAGAGTTACCTAGTTTGGCTGGAGCTTAGCGTGCAAAATTATCAAGGAGTCCTTGAATGCCAGGTAAGAAACTTATTCAGAATGCAACAGGAAGCTACTGAAGTGGAGAAGCAATATGACTAGATCAGTTCATAAGGAAGATTAGTTTGGGACCCATAAAAAGAATAGTTTGGAGTAGGGAGAAAAGGGAAAGGGGGAGACTGATCAGGGATCTATTGCAATAGTCCGCTTGGAATCAACAAACCATTCCTTTAAATCCAATTCCATCCCCATCCTCTTTACTACTCTACTACCTTCAAATAAACAAACAAACCAAACTCCACAAGGGTTTTAGATCTGCCCTAGTGTGACGGTGATGGAAGTAAAGTGAAGGAGATAGAAACAAATGTATGTTCTGGAAATAGCATTGACAGGACTTGATGTCATAGGCTGGGGTGGATATGTGCCTGCAACTCAGAAAAGATGTCACGTGTGAAGATGTAAGTTTGGTAATGATCTGTGCATGTGCACAGAGGAAATAGGGCCAAAGACAAAACTGATACACAAAAGCTTTGAGATAAACAATCTTCTGAATTCTTGTCATGTTCCGAAGTATTATTCATTGATCAAACAACACTATCTGGCACCAGGTTTTGACAAGTATTATAGTCATCTCATTTTCCATATTGCTAGGCACAGAAAGATGGGCTCCCCAGAAGAAAGTGAGTCTGATAATTGAGTTTAGTGAATGAGATCTATCAACTATGAAACTCTTTTCAAGATTACCTATGGAAGCAAATATTTTTTTTTAAAATAACTCCATCCGTGCTGAGAAATTAGTAGCTAAATGCAAATATGAGTTTTCATAGACCCTGATTGCATTTCACAGTATAAGCAAATGGCTTCAAGTCTCCATTTTGAAAGTCATTTTCAATGGTCACATCATCCATCCATTCATTTAATAGTATTTATCAAGCACCTCTTATTTATGAATCACTGAATAAGATACGAATAAGTCAGAATTGGACCCTGCTTTTAAGGGGCTTATTATCCTGCAGGAAACATAAGGCTCATGCACAGACAGCTTTGTATAGAAATGAGAATATGATAAACTCACAACAGAGATATGATCAATGTGAGAAGAGGGTTCACAAAAAGGAGAGATCATTTCCGGCTGGAGGGACAGGGAAGGCTTAGACAGAACTGATAAGGTGAAGCTGCAGGAGTAGCTGAAATCAGCAGAAGAGAGGGTGCAGAGGAGAAAGAGGAGTCTCAGATAAAGAACACTGGGGCACACCTACATTAAGGGTTCAAGAAGAGAAGACATTCATGGCTAACCCTAAATCAGGAGACGGTAGGTAGTGCGTTTGCTTCTTGTTACAGAGTCCAGCTTCATAATCTGCCATTATCTGAGTAAGTTGCTCATTATTAGTCCCAGGCTACCCAGAATCCTATGATTCCAGTGTGATGAGGAAATAGACTTCTATCTTATCCTCAACCTCCCTTTTTACTGGCAATCCCAACATATTGAAGGGATCAAGGCTTCTATTTTTTAAGTGGAATTCTTCTTTGGATGTGGTAGGAATGAGAGCAAGGGAGAGGGTTCTCATATTTATCTACAATTTGAGTGTGCCCTCTCTCCTTCTTTGATGTTAGGAACAAAAAGAATATCAAGAAGATCGTCTGCCTCCGCTCATAATAAGAATGAGAAAGGTTCAGAGGAAAAGGATCTTATGTTGTGTAGGTTGGTGCTCAGAGGTTTCCTTTACAGTTATCCAGAACTTGAAACATCTATGAGTAAAACATAAATCCAAATATTTTCTTCCTAAATATAATGGAGGCTGAAAGTTGCAGAAGAGGAAATCACCATTAACAAACAGTAGGAAAATAGGGAGATAGTTAAGCTACCTACTTACCCAAAATCTTTCAGAAGCAAAATAGACTCAGTATGTTTGCTGTTGTTCATATCTGCATGTGAGTGCCTGTGTGTATCTATAGATGTGCTTGGTTATATGTGTATGTGCCTATGTGTCTTGTCTGTATGTGTGTGTGTGTATACATGGGGATAGGATTTAAGATAATTGGAAGAAAAATGAATTTAAAGTCAAGTGGCCACTAATATTCAGGTAAGCTCTTTTAAAAATATGGATGCAATTGGCTAGCCTTCTGGCTTTCATCACAGAAGCCTTGTGATGAAATAGCAAATATGGGAACATAAAAAAAGACATGGACTTGTCATCCATTTGAATGGGTCCAAATGGCTGAATGCCTCAAATTTCTTGAAAACTCCCCAATATTAACATCCCAGAATTTTAGTGAAGTTTTCATCAGCACCCTTACTGATAAAATTAATTTGTATTGAAGAAATATAATTTGAACTGGTTTTCAGCTGATTCCTGACTAAGCCTAAATACAGAGAATAGGTGTGGCTATTTTCTACCTGCCAACCTGTTGCTAAATGGTCCATAACTGTCAAAAGGTTTGCATTGTTCATCTCTAGATGAGAACAATAGTGTCCTGGTTAATCACTGGATCCATGGAACAGGCATGAAATGTGTGGAGTCCTTCCAGCTATCAGTGAAAAATGTTTATTAAGGACCTACTGTATGCCAGGTGATGTAATAGGTGCTGAGGATATCCCCAAGCCCCATGCCATGCTATGGGGGATGTGCGGTTAAGCATCTTCTAGGTTTCTCTTTGGAGAAGAGTGAAGGAAAATCCACAAGCTCACGCCCTATTTGATCATTTGGCTGTAAATAGCTTTGGGACGTTTCAAGATGAAAGACCCATTGGAAGGTAAGATGTTATTATAAACACTGGCTGGTAATGATAGTAATTAGCATTCTAATAAAATATAAACAAAGGAAATGGGAGAATGCATGTTAATTATCTTGATTTTTAAAGCTTAATGCCAAACAAAATAAACAAGTGAAATGGTCCTGTTTGCTTTTGTCCTCTTTCAAATTGCCAATAAGTTGCTCACTGAATAGATTTCTGACTTCGGAAGGAAATAACTGGACCTATCAAAAGCCAACCACAAAAGAAGGCTAGGAATGAGATGAAAGAAGGGAAATATGACTATATCATATATTTATAGTTAGGGGAAAGAAAGAAAGATAGTGAGGCAGAAAGAGAGGAAGGAAGGAAAGAAGGAAGGAAAGAAGGAAGGAAGGAAGGAAGGAAAGAAGGAAGGAAGGAAGGAAGGAAGGAAGGAAGGAAGGAAGGAAGGAAGGAAGGAAGGAAGGAAGGAAGGAAGGAAGGAAGGAAAGAAGGAAGGAAGGAGGGAAGGAAGGAGGGAGGGAAGGAAGGAGGGAAGGAAGGAGGGAAGGAAGGAGGGAAGGAGGGAAGGAAGGAGGGAAGGAAGGAGGAAGGAAGGAGGGAAGGAGGGAAGGAGGGAAGGAAGGAAGGAGGGAAGGAAGGAAGGAAGGAAGGAAGGAAGGAAGGAAGGAAGGAAGGAAGAAAGGAAGGAAGGAAGGAGGAGGGAAAGAAGGAAGGAAGGAGGGAAGGAAGGAAGGAAGGAAGGAAGGAAAAGAAAGAGCAAGCTAAAAATGCTTCCACAAATTCTAACTTGTTCTCCGTTTCCCCACACCAAGAAGCATATTTCCCAGACCATTTTTCCCACTTTCATCTGAAAAGGGCACTGAGGAGAGGCAAAGTCAATGGGCCAACTAGGTCCAAGAATCTATCACCTCCTGTCTGACTCTGCACTGGTTTGGACCTCAAAGGGGAAACAGGTTTTCCTTCAAAATTTCCACAAACTTCTGTTCGGTGAAATTTCACCAACTGACCACTGCCAAGTAGTGTTCAATATCCCCTGTCTAAGTCATGTCCCCAAGGAAACTTAGAGGCTTTCAGTGTTGTCTGATCCTCTAAAAGGCAGAAAGAAATTGTACTACAGGAATGTTGCCGGGTCATTATGAAAATGCTTAAGAATAACACCCTGTGTTTGCTGTAAATTTAAGCCTGGTCCCTTCACGTCACAGAGGAAGGAGGTGCTCCCAGGTTTCCTTCCTCTGACACATGTGTGTATATGAGTGTATGTGTGTGGTGTACCTCTTCCATGTGACCAGCTGCACAGACATCCCCAACAGGAAATGCAAGGCCTTCATGTCCAGAGGAGAAGGCTGGGTTGGGACTTCACAGGGCAAAGCTGTGAGAAGCAGGGACCATTTTCAGGAAGATCTTGGGGGGAAATGCCCTGACCTCTTTATTATTCTGTTTATAAACTGCTATCTTGGAACATCCCTCTTTGGAAATTTTGTCCTGGGGGAGGAAAGAGGTAGATCTCTATTTAGAAAAGGGCTAATTCCATTACTTTGTTCCAAGGAGCCAGAGGAAAATCTTTGGTCTCAGAGATGAAGGGCCTGGCCCATGTCTCATTTGCCTCTATAAGCAAAGGTGGCTTTCTTCAATTTTGGGGGGGGATTGGTATATTTTCCTCTCCAAGAGGCTGATAGAATTTAACTACGAAAAACAACCTTAGAAACCATCTAGTCAAACCCTCTAGACTTCACACATGAAGATGCTTAGGTATAGAGGACCAACTGATTTGGCCAAGGTCACAAAGTTAGTATCTGGCAATAGATATAATGATGTCCTGTTTTGTAGAAAGTGAGAGTAAAACTACTTGTAGGAATAAAAAAGCTATGTTGCTTTATACACTAAAGAATTGTCATTTTGTGGTTTTGTTCAGTTGTCTTCAGTTGTGTCTGACTCTTCATGGCCCCATTTGGGGTTTTCTTGGCAAAGATACTGAAGTGGTTTGTTATTCCCTTCTTCAGGCATTATGCAGATGAGGAAACTGAGGCAAACAGGATAAAATGACTTGCTCAGGGTCGCACAGATCAGGATGAGTCTTTCTGACTCCTGGCCCAGTGCTCTATCCACTGTGCCACCTAATTACTCTACTCAAATGCTATACTCGATAAAAAATAAATACATACTTTCTCTGAAATATTTCCTGTACCTTGTCAAATTGATTGATGCCATATTGATGATGAATAAATTAATCAACAAACATTTATTAAATACCTACTATGTGCCAGGAACTATGCTAGGTGCTAGGGATACAAAGACAAAAAGAAAATCATCCTTTCCCTAAAGAAATATATTCTATCAATAGAGACAACATGTATACATAAAACTATACACCAACAATTTAAACATAAACACAAATGATGATGATGGTCTTAGTATTACAAAATGTAGCATCTCATTGTTCTAAGGATCCTTGGCACTTATCTCAATAAAGTCTACCTAAAGAAGTATGAGAATGCCTCCCACAACATTCTGACAAGTAATCATCCAGATTCTTCTTGTAGACCTCCAGGAATGAACAACTCACTGTCACTCAAGGCAGGCCATTTCAGTTTTGGACAACTCCAATGCTTTTGAGGATACTTGCACTTCTTATTAATAAATCCCAAAGCTGAAAGGATTAAGCAATTCTTGGTTTTGTAGCCAGGTCCGGTACACCTAGCTGATCCTCTGTCATGCTCTGAAGAAAGGTGTATGGATCAGTCTTGCCATAGGAAGCAAGACATAGAACTACAGTATCCTAGATGTAGAGCTGGAAGAGCAGGAATTTGTCCTGATGGTTATCTAGGCAATGGTAGCTGAGAAAGCTGGATTGGCTTTAGGAGATGGGGGACCTAGTATTGACTCTGCCTCTACCTAGCTGAATGACCTTACTTAGGTAAATTAGTAGTGTAAAATTAACAGTGGATAGAGGGCCAGGCCTGGAGTCAAGAAGCCTCATCTTCCTGAGTTGAAATCCAGCTTCAAACACTTTCTAGCTGTGTGACCCTGGACAAGTCTGCCTCAGTTTCCTCATCTATAAAAATCAGCTAGAGAAGGAAATGGAAAGGCACTCCAGTATCTTTGCCAAGAAAACCCCAACTGGGGTCACAAAGAGTCAAATACAAATAAAATGACTGAACAATGAGCCTGTTTCTTCATCCATAAAGTGAGTGAGGGAGAAAGAGATGTTTACTGGCTTCCGTTCTGACTCTAAAATTCTACGATTCCTAATGAAACTATTTAAAAATTAAATTGATGGCAAGTGTTTGAGGGTATTCTGAAGCTACTAAAACTTGACCAAGAAGTTTAAAAACAGAGTTAGGAGAGGAAAATGATATGAGCAATTCTTTAGGGTACCTATAGTACAGATAGTCCTGAAGCAGTAACTCCTAGTCCTTTGGGTGACATGGTGTGGTTTCTTTCTTCATGTTTCCCACATTATTGTTGTCTCCAGCTCAACTTCAGCATTCCACCCCCACTTAGTTCTTGCTTGTCTAATGTTCTTGAGGGCAGGGCATATTGACTCCAAGCTAGTATTTAATGGAGAAGAATTGGTTCCTCTTGTCTTTCATTCAACAACCATTTATAGGAATCTCTTCTGGGTGGGACAAGATGTAGACAGCATAGAGAGTAGAGAGATGGCCTTGGAGTGAGGAAGATCTGAAATTCACAGGTTGTGAAGCCATGGCAAATCATTTAACATCTAAACACTCTCTGGCATCTCTCTAAGGTTATATGTGTCAGTTCTGTTGTTGATTTGCATTGTTAGAGGGAATTTCCACACTAAGACACTGATGAAATCAAAGGTCAGGAGCAAAATTCTTTAAAAAAGAAAAAAATTAGCAAAATACTTTTTATAATATAAGATACAAAGATGAGATGTAGTCCTTGTCCTCACAGAATTTTCAGTCTAATAGGGGGAGATAAGACTCAGGTAAATATAAAACAAGTTTAAAAGTGATTAACTGCATAAATTTAATAGAAATGTCTGATTTATCTTTTTGAAATGAACTAATAATAAGGAGGATCTTTGCAATTGATTGAGATAGAAAGGCATAATGGGGGAAAAAACCATTATATTGGGGAGGCCTGGTTTCTAGCTCAAGTGGTGGCATTAACTGGCTATATAATCTAGTCTCACAAATTTGTTCACTATGTGACCTTAAGCATGTTACTTCACCTCCATTTACCAAGTAATTTACTAATTTATAATGGGGATAATAATAGCACCTACCTCCCAGGGTTGTTGTGAGGATCAAAGGACATAAAAATTTTAAAGTGCTTATCAGAGTACAGCGCCTGGCCCATGATAAGCACTATATAAATGTTAGTAAATGTAAGTATTCTATATTGGTCTTGAATGCAATCAGTACAGAATGCCAAAAGTGACAAAATGAGGGATTCTCTAGTAAGAAAATCTGGAAATGTGCTATGATTGGTAATGGTTTTGTTTAATATTTAAAATACATGATATTGTATATGTTAATATTGTGTTTCTAAATTTTTTCTTATATTGTGAAATTTGGGAGACTAATGTACCAAAAATGCTGTTAGAAAAGTAACTTCTCTTTCAATCTGGATGCTGTCAGATTATGAACTGGGTTATTAAAAGAATGTGGTCAAAATGTTTGAAAACTGTTAAATATCGAATGTGACATATTTTGTTGTAAAATAGATGAATTATTTGGCTGTCACTTATGAAAATTATGAAATTGTATCTGTTAGTCAATAGTATATATTGAAGTTACATCTTTGAACCAATTTAGCACTAATAGACTTAGATAATCTAGATTCAAAGATTTCCATTTTGCATTGGGGTTAATAGGTGATACAGATTGGAGGTTTACAGTGGCCAGAATTTTTCTGGGTTTTTGAGTGGACTATAATATATTTACTGTATGTAGGAAACTCCAGAATGTGGTTATTCTTAATTTATAAAGGAAGGATAAATGAAATGTCTTTATATGTGTTCATTGCTAACTGTTATTAAAATAGGAAAAAAGAATAATAACCTAGTCCTAAGCTGTGATTATTCACATTTCACTATTTGAAACAAAATCTCTTGGGACTGTAATTTGACATCATACCAAGTTTTTATTTCAGGTATGATTGTCTGAATTGTCATGAAGACAATAGTCCACCATTCAAGGAGAATGCCATGTTCTACCCAAAGGAAATGCAGTCTGAGAACTGCTACAATTGGATGTCTGCCCCTGGGAAAAGTTGAGGAGGTGACCTCACATAACCAAAGGTGAGATCCTCTTGACTTAATTTCTCATTGTGCTATTTCCTTTCTGAACAGGAAAAATTCTCATCTGATTAATTCTGAACTTGGCTTCTGGATACTTCTGGATACCTTCCAGATAATGTGGAACTTAACCATTAACTATTAACTATTGATTGGCTATTAACTATGACTCTTGCCTGGAATCAAGCAGAGGTAAGGAAGGTTCTTACCCCATTATGCCTTATGTCAGGTCAGTCTGTGCTCTTGAGGGGCTGGTCTTGATACTGTCATAACTATATCCCTCCTTTTGCCCTTCAAAGCAAACTTTTATAATCAGGGCAGATGAACAAAGGAAGCTTTGTCATTGCAATATTAAGTCTATTAATTAATAGATTAATACAAAAACATTTGAGTTACTATAATAAGACAAAAGTTTAAAAGATTTTAATATTTTTAGTATGTATTTGTGGTCAACTCTATATCCAGTGCAACTAGGTAAATGAGTTCTCAGGTTTACCATCCTCTTGCTAATAGTTATATTCATGTATGAGATTAGGTCCTTAAAGTACCTCATTTCTTCAAGATCATATTAGGAAATTGTGTGTGTATGTGTGTGTGTGCAAGTATCCTCAAAAAAGGGAAGCTAAGACAAAGATGTAAAAGCTGTGCGTTTTTTTTAAATTTAATGTAGTAAACTTTGGGAAAATAACAAGATTAGACTATTAGAAATCTAAGAACTAAGATGTGTTTGTGTGTGTGTGTGTGTGTGTGTGTGTGTGTGTGTGTGTGTGTGTGTGTGTAAAATTGGCTTCCAAATGTGTCTAATGGCAAATGCAGGCTTGAGTATGTTTTAGTAATGTTTTCAAAATTTGATTACTAAAGTATTTTAAATCATATCCTCCCCCATTTTGATGCATCTCTGTGATAATATTAGGGGATGGGAGGGCTCATTTTCCAAGTCAGACCCTCTTCCTTCAGCCATATCTGGTACAGAGTTCAGGTAAAGATAGAAAGAGCAAGTTATATGTAAAAATTGAAATTTTCTGAAGTTTTAGATGAATTGTGGGTTTATAATTTCTTGTTCTTATAACTGTTATTAATAGGATTATATCTATAAAGTTTGAATCAGTTTTCATCACATGAACTGGTTACACGAAAAGCAAATTTAGGAGATTGTACTAAATTGTATTATCTTGTTACTGATAGGAATCTCTGCAAGTGAATTGGAACCAGAGAAGCAGATCTATTAGGAGGAGCTTGCTTCAGAACTGCCCTGAGTATGAGGCCTATTCCAAGGGAAGATGTTTCTAAGGACCGCATGACTACATGAGAAACCTAGGGATCATAGTGAAATGTGCTGATTAAATGAGTGAGTTATCAGGTAGCAAGGAAATTTGTTGTTATTTACTATTAATGATACTTGTTGTATTTTTAAAAATGAAACATAGTAACTTTCTGGGACACAATTTAAGATCCTTGTGATTCCAACTAGTCACAAACCCATTATCATACCTCCTAAATTGAAGTGACTATGACTTCCAGGTGGAAGAGGGAGTAGTTTCAAATATCCTATTAATCAATCACTTGATGTTCAAGGATGATAATTTATATGACTTCATAAAGAAATATTAGTCAGCTTATCCACTTCATGGAACCTTTCTCCATGTTATCAAAATGGTATCTCCAAAGTTATCAAAAAGATATTTGAACTTAAATATACAACTCTTTGAAATCAGAGTCAAATTGAAACAGTGGGCAAAGATAAAATGTACAAATAGCCTGGTTTTCTCCAGGCCAGTCAAGGTGAAAGATTGAATGACTTTCACAAACCTGAAATTGAACCTCAATGGATATGTCATGTTTAAAGGAATTATAGTGCCTCCTTCGAGCAAACATCTACCCTTGTAGTTCTGAAACTGCCTTTCCTCAGTGTCTCTAGTTTGTCCTTGGTGGGTATCTGTACCCCCAAACTGCTTTCAGCTGCTGCTGCTGCTGCTCCAGGAACATCATCACAGTGATGAGAATTCTAGTTGAAATTCACAAAGTCATCATCTAGCTAATTGGAAGGAGAGAAGAAGAAGAAGAAGAAGAAGAAGAAGAAGAAGAAGAAGAAGAAGAAGAAGAAGAAGAAGAAGAAGAAGAAGAAGAAGAAGAAGAAGAAGAAGAAGAAGAAGCGAGAGAGAGAGAGAGAGAGAGAGAGAGAGAGAGAGAGAGAGAGAGAGAGAGAGATTGAGAACTTAATTTTATTTTTCACTCTTTTCTCTAAGGGAAATTTTTTCTCAGGAGTCCTTTGCCACTACTATTTGATATTTGATTCCAAACTAATTTGTTTTGCTATTATATATAAGACCAGAAGTACATCTGGTTCTTTCAGCCAATCACCATTTCTTGCTTAACGCTATCTGTTTTTTCATACGATGGCCAAAACCCCTATACTCCTTTCAAATTAATTAACAACTTATTCACCAGGAGTTTACTTTTCATTAATTGATTGAGTTGAATTATCTGGGTCTTCAGTGATTACATAAGATTCTCTCCCTCTTAATACTAGCCTTAAAATAGCTTTTGGAATTGTAGAACCGACTGTGATAGATTAAAAATGTGGTATCATCAAGGCACCAGGACTTGATTAGTGGAAATTATGCCAGGAAAGATAGAAATATTGCACCATATCACTGTAGTCTGACTAAAAATTCAGCACCTATCTAATCCCTGCTGAGACACTACTTGGGAAGTAGGATGATACATCAGAAACTTTCATCTATAAATTAGCAGATGATATATCCCCATTCTACATACAGTATTCAAAATGTCCTTAACATTTCAACTAATAAACTATTGGAAATAGACCATTATCACAGAGGGAACTATTATACATAATCTCCTGAACATAAAACTGATCTATAAAAAAAAAAATTTAAGAACAACTTTTAAATAGATACCACTGTGCCAATTACTTTTAATTTTTAAGTTATGCCCCGTGAAGAGTTTTCTAAATATATAGAATCCTAGCAGGAGAGATTAAAATCATATGAGAGAAAGATAAGGGACATATCCCCATCATCTTTTCTACTATTGGAGATGTCCCAAAGATGAGCCAACAGAAGGTAAATTTATATCCCAATACGCTTATTCAATCATAAAAGGAATAATTTTAACTGCCTGAGAAATAGTCCAAAGAACATTAAGCATACAAGAATAATAGTAGAGTATTGACCTGTCCCAGAACCATTTCAATCTGGAACCAAGATGAGAAGAATGAGATAAATACAACAACAATAACAACATTTGTATTTATAGAAAATTTTGTGTTTTGTAAAGTATTTTCTGACCAATTTAGGTCATGCAGGAATTGTTATCCTTATTTTGTAGGGGATGAAACTGAGATTCTTGATGCAATGATGTGAGCAGAAATAGGAGAACACTGTACATAGTAACAGGAACATTATACTATGAACAACTGTGAATTACTTAGCTATTCTCAGCAATACATTGATCCAAGACAATTCCAAAGGACTCATGATGAAAATATTCTCCACCTCCAGAGAAAGAACTGATGGATCTGAATGCAGAAAGCATACTATTTTTCACTTTATTTTTTCAGATTTTTTTTCCCCTTTGGGTCTGTGTCTTTTTTTACATATCTAATATGGAAATATGTTTTGCATGATTGCACATGTAAAAACTATATAAAATGGCTAACCGTCTTAAGGAGGGGGGAGTTGAGAGAGGGAGAAAATTTGGAAATCAAACTTTTAAAAAATATGTTAAAAATTGTCTTTATATGTAATTGGGGAAAATTTTGTTTTAAAAGAAATCGTGGTTCTGAAATTTCAGGGACTTGCTGATGATCACAATGCTCTTTCAGGGGACAGTGGTGGGATTTCAGAGTATGATAGATTTAGAGCTGGAAGAGACGTTCTTAGAGATCTTCTGTTACAAGCGCTCCAGGGTCCTCCTCATTTTCAATTGAGGAAATAAGTACAAGGAAGTTAAGTGATTACATGATTGTGTGGGACAGAGCCACTTACTCAAAAATAAAAACAAAGACTTAGATACCTTGAAAGTAGAAAGGAGTTTATTGCTTTCTCATGAGAAAGGGTACCCCCCTAGTCACCATTGTGGGCCAGGAGAGTACAAGTTCCTTACAGAAGTAAAGGCTTATTTATGCCCTAATGTGAGCTCCTCCTCCCTAACCCCCTTCCCCTCATCCCATTGGCTGGGCTTTTGGGGGGCACAGTCTTTTCACAGAAATCTAGAACAAAGATAGTTACACAAGTTTGCCCAGAGACAAGAAACTGCAGGAAATTTTTGCAAGGGAAAACAGTTCAGGTTGGGGGCAGGGCTTATTCTTTCTGCTAAGCATTTAAAAAAACAGGGTCTGAGCTGGGGAGGGTTTTGAAAGCATCAAGAAATATTAACAAGAACCATTGATTCCCTGAGGAGGCTTCATTTCTGAGAGATCGTCTCTCACAATTCCCCCTCCCTTTTCTTACAATTTGAAGCCTCCTCACAGGAACTAAACCTTAATAACCATCAGGGTGGTCTCAGACTGGCACCCAACCCTGACTCTTCAGCTTGATTTCTCCTTTCCCTTCTATCTTAACCAAGGGGGCCAAGGAGTCTTGCATACAGGGGAGACACACCGGGAGTAGGATAATAACAATTTCCCTCAAATTTTACAATATAAGAGTTTTAGAAGTACAATACAATTTAGAAACAGTAATAACATTTGTAACACAAACAATAAACTTCAGGTAACATCAACTGCATTTCCATATTATCACATACAGAAATTATCACTCTTATGGTACCTTTAACACTTGGCACTCTTGCTACCTTTAACAATTACATATTCCGCATTTTAACATATGCATCCTTCTCTAATTATACTTCAGAAACTGAATCTTTTACATATGATAAATTAAAACACTGATTTTACTCTTATTTATGCCATGAGATGACTACAAATTCAGATCAAAACAGGAAGATCTCACATCTTTTACTGACCACTTGCTCTAATCAGAGAAATCTACTATCAAAGAAAAAGGCAGGGACATGTGACATGCCAAATATGACAAGATAGAACATCCTTAGCTCTGTTTGAATTCAGATAAGAATCACAGTTCTCCAATCATGCAGTATCAATTCCATATCATAGCCAGACGAAGGAATAGTCAGGTGGGAAACATTCTTTCTCAAAGGAACACAATGGGGAAACTGATCCAGAAGGATCCCATCCTAGACTGAGGCTAAGATTGTCCTCATGGCTTTTTCCCAGATGCAGACCTCCACCTACAGGATCACATTCCCTCTGGGTGCTTGTGGCATCTCTCTCAGATACTGATTTTAATGCAGACAACTATATGCAAATTCAAACTCAAAACAAAATTAATTATAGTCCCAAGAGCCTTTTACCTTTAACAGCAAATTTCACTAATTACGGCTTAAAGCCAGATACAGTTAATTTATTCCCATGGAGTTGCAATAATCAATAAAAATTTACCAGGACTCACATCTCAAATTTAAGCTTGTCCCAGTGTAAAAGCCAATCATTAGAAACTTGCAACTTTTCAGCAAGCCAAGTTCATTGTTTAGGAACTGCAAGTTGTTTCCTCAGGGCACATGTGCTCTCCTTTGTCTGTTCCTTCTTACTTTCCTCTACCCTGGCCACATACACTTTTTGGGCTATTTCCAGCAACTCATCTAAAGCCTGTTCTGCCAATTCTCCAACTTTTGCAACTTTTTATTAATATCTGGCCAGGAGTTAGTTACAAAATATACTCTCAATAAACTTTGTTCAGTGGAATCCTCAAGTTCTAACCCCGAAAACTTCCTCATGTTCTCCTTCAACCTGTCAAAAAAGGCAGAGGGAGTTTCCTTTTTTTTTTTTCTGTTTGATCCCCATCACTTTATTCATGTTCTGGCTTTTAGGGATGGCATTTCTAATTCCCTATAATTTCTTCATGTTCTTTCTATGGGCCAGGTTGTTATGGTCCCAATTCGGGTCTACAAGGGGGAACTTCTCTTCTCCCCTTGGTTTCCCTTGTGCTATTGGGTGGCCAGCATCTCAGGCCTTCATCGCCACCCTCTGAATCTGATCTTATTCTTCCTCTGTGAATAAGATATCTAATGTCACTACCATTTTCTCCCCAAATATACAAATTAGGTCCTAAAAACTGATTGACCTGATCAGCAACCCCCAAGGGGTCCTCAATTAGCTTCTTCATATGCTTATCTCTGAACTATTGAGGGGAGCAGAGAGTTCTCTTGATCTTTGAGTAACTGCTTTAGTTCTAGGTGGACAGGGGCCTGCGGTGCTGCGGCTTCCCTCACATCAATCAGGTCCTCCCGGGGAGGAGACAATCTTGGTGCCTTT